CAGGCAGGAAGAAAGGAACAGAGTGGAAAACGCAAAAAGAAAACTTTAATTGGGCGTTTTTGTGGCATTTAAGATGGTTCAGAAGGCATGGGGAAATATAACGCTATTGAATAAGAGTGGTGGTGGACTTTGAGAAGTACTGAAGTAATTCGCACTTTTATATTCCAAGTTGAAAATGTTAAAAATGGAAAAAAACTTTCTTTGAAAATGGGATCATATAATATTAACATGCAAGAGTTGTATACTATCTGTACTTGCCTATAGTAAGTTTATAGTAATCTCGTGCACCATTGAGAATGCACTTAAATTGAAGAGAGTAATACAGAAAGCGAATTCTGTCTTAAATGAGTTGGTCATATCCTAGGTAGAGATTTAGATATTACTGAAATCAATCACATTGTGTATGCATCTGGATCTCTGATAACCCAATTTTACCATATTCGAAATGACACAACAAACCTTGATAGCTGAGAAGCTAAGAGAGGAAATCCAAGCATGGTATCTATGCATCAGACGTTACAAATGTAGAGTAGATTTCCGTGTACAGAATCGGTTGTTTGAAACTGAAGCGGAGAGATTCTATCACAATTTGACCCAAAAATAGAAGGGCAATGCTCTTTCTCCTGCATAGGATGACATCGTAACATTTTGGGCAGGAATCTGGGCAAGAAGCAAATTCTACAACAAAGTAGTATCTTCGCTCCAATCTGACGTCGATGCCGCCGATAAACTTGTAACAGTGGAACATGTTCACGAATTCTCGGAAGAGTATCTCTTTCAAGCAACTAAGAACAGCAAATCCACTAGGATGGATAAGATCCAGAACAATTGGATTAAGAAATTAACATCATTATATTATCATCTAGCAAAGGTTAATAAATTTTCAGAAAACCCAAAGGAAAACTTGGAATGGCACACACAGGGCATCACGTGTCTGTTTCAAAGCAGTTCATTGGCGGGAGACAGTTCTTTGAGAGGTTTCAATAGGCCAATCATATGTTTGCCAGTAATATACAAAGTTAATACTCCAGCCATAGCAATGAAAATGAACAAACGCCTAGAGAAGGACCATCTGATGACAGTTGATCAGAAAGAATGTCGCAAAGGCTCTTTTGTTTCTAAGAAAATCTTGCTACAAAATAAAGTCATCTTGTCTCACCAGTCTTGATCTCTCGGTTCCGTCCGCTTCTGCCTCCTACGCCCGGCATTGCCTTCTTCGTCGCCTACGCCCGTCGCCTTTAACTACGCCCGCGTGTATGTTTCTTTCGCACCTCACAGGATAACTCGAGCGAAATCCGTCCGTGCAGGCCTAGCTCGCGGCTGATTGCACTTTACTAGACATCTGCTCGTACTACTTTCCTAATAAATAGTAAATTCCTCCCCGCGTCGTGGTCCGAAGAATTACTGGCTTCCGGAAAACTATGAAATTTCTCGGACGGTTGACTCTGCGTCTATTCGACGTCCAACACCATCTAATGAAAGTAGTCGTTGCTGCGTCTGACAATATCTAAGGCGAAGTGATGCTGGCTCGGCGAACGGGAAGGAAAGAGCTACCGCATGCGAGTTCGCGTATTTATCTAAGCGCCCTCCGACATACGGGTAGCGTGGCGTCTCCCCCTCTTCGGCTGATTTCGCGTCATTTTCCTAGCCTTATCCAGTGGGTACCGCGGATAACAGTTTCCTTGGAGGCGGGCGCGCCCATTTTGAACTGCGCCACGCTCGCTCACCCACCACGTTCTGTCACAGGCATTCTCACGACGTGTGGGCATGTGGAACGAACCAACTCTCATGCATTCGTCACAATACATTTGCTTTATTACATGCGCAACTTTTATTCAAGTACAATTTTCAAAAATAGGAACATGATACTGAGGGTGCATTAAATGTCCATTCAAGGGTTTTTGTTGCCTATAATAAAATAAATTGCACATTGTGGTTTCGTTAATACAGTTCTTTGTAATTTATCGCCAATATTTGACAGAAGCGTTTGCCACACCTTGTCTAACGTTTCGAATAAGAAACTTCAATTCAAAATTATTTTTCTAGTTATATACAGAAACAAATTCAATATTAAAATTCTTATTTATTTTTACAATAATCTCACATGCATAAATGAATAACATTGCTGACAAATTATTTTTCAAATTTTTGTGTACAATTACAGTTACATGCACTACAGAACACTTAACTGTTTATTTAGGGGATGCTGAATTCCCGCTGTGTTCGTTATAGACGTTCTATCCATAGAAGAAAGTGCAATCCAAATTTGTAAGGGTATCTTTCCACATCCTCTGCAATAGGTTGAATTGCTTGCGAATCTATTCATCTAGTAACACATATTCTGTCTAGAGATTTCTATTGGGCTATTTTTAATGATAGAGAAAATATAGATCACCCAGTAGAGATGATAAAGACTTAAGTATTACATATTCTGCATCAGGATTTTCAATGCGATATTTTTGGTTAATAGAAAGAGGTAATATCACAATTTGTGATATTTATTCTTTGGGCCCTGCACACTAGCGTTGCACTGACGTACGTTAAGCAACGCGCGTCTTAAAATAATTTTATACGAAACGGCACGAGAGCGCCGTTGGGCGTTCTGCGTAAAATAGTGTCAATCCGACGCGTGTTACTTCACGCGCGCCAGCGCAACGCTCATGTGGCAGAGGCCTTAATCGCACTTGGTGCTTAGAGGGAAGACTGTCACGGCCTCATGTGGCGTCGCGGAGCAGCGGGTCGTCCGGCGCTAGAGTGACCTTGAAGCGCTGGAGCCGCGCGGGCACCATCAGAGGCGAGTGCTGCGTGGGGAAGGAGGGCATCGACGCCGACGAGGTCAGGGAAGTCGACGCCGGCAAAGACGTCGGCGAAGGCATGGGCGTGGGCGTGGGCGTGGGCGACGGCCGGAGCGGTGTCCCGGGCGTGCTCCCCGGCGCCTCGCAAATGGTGGGCAGGGCCGGGCGACGGACTGGCGGAGGCACATACGCCGCCGGGGGCTGTGGATGGACATCATGCATTCGCCATCGGTCATTAGACAAAAGAACATGCATTCCCTATCGGTCATTAGACAAAAGAACATGCATTCCCTATCGGTCATTAGACTAAAGAACATGCATTCCCTATCGGTCATTAGACTAAAGAACATTCATTCCCTATCGGTCATTAGACACAAGAACATTCATTCCCTATCGGTCATTAGACACAAGAACATTCATTCCCTATCGGTCATTAGAACAAAAAATCATTCTTTCGTGGACGGAGACTATACAGATAATTAATTTGACCGTTTTGATTGATTGGTCAAAAAACCCTTTCTAACAGAAGGTGCATTTAGACGATAAGTGGTATAAATTGATGTCTTGAAAAACTGTTGGTCCGCGCATATGGAGTAGAAGAGTCGTTTAACATTGACGTATTCTTCACCGCCATGATCTGTCTCTACCGCGTCCCAACCTCGCGCTCCCCACGCATGTGCTGGTGTATTATTTCCACGTTAAACGACTCATCCCAAATACCACTGGATGGATGGGTCAAATATTTAAAGAGGTCAAACATTTAAAGGGGTCAAAAATGAGTAGGAGGGCTCGTTCATATATTTTGCAAATATACATTCCCGCTTAAGATTTGACCCAACATTCTGGGGACACACTTTACCCAAACTTTTACATTAAAGGAAAAATGTATATACAAATACATCACATTCATATTATTATCACAAGCCTGTTTATTTAACTTGGAATCGCTAAAATAATAAATTATATACACAAATAATTTATAGAATATACATTATTTTCGTCTTATTTTATCTTTATGCATGTTCTTCCTGATAGCGGGATGATTTCATGTAAGACACGGTAAGAGAAAAACTAAAATATATCTCGTTTTCAGTTTGCAAATATTTTATATTTCATATATCATAATTCATGTGATATAGTAAAAATGTTGGGGTAGGGATTACAGAGCTCAAGAACTCGTCTGCAGGGTGTACTCCTCCTCCTTACATTACTGAGTTTTTAAATTTTACAATAAATCAACGACTAAATTTTGCATTTGCCCTGGGAACTCTGAGCGCTGGTGGCACGAAGTTGCTCTAAGCAGCTGCATCTCGGCTGCTGAGAGCTGGGGGCCCGCTAATTAGCAATATTAGAGATTAAAGGTTTCCAAAACACTATTCGAAAGTTCTAATTGTATTTAATGAGTGTAAGGACTAGCCCCTAGCTCAGCTGCTTTTAGCGATACTGATCTCACTATGTTCACACTAGAAAAAGCAGGTGCCTAAACTGTCGTAAATCTCATTTTTGAAGTAGAAAAAATCCCATCGCTATTCTCATTTCCAGTTACTCATTCAGTGTTTAGTTCATTTGTATTGAACACTTGCGTAGCAACGATTCCCAACTTCGCCCATAAATCACAAACACTTTTTACTGTTTTTGACGATTAGTAAATCAAAAGAAATCTGCCTTGTAGGTTCATTCTTAGTTTAGAGTACGTTCGGTAAAAGAACGAGTCACGCCGAAAACGATTCGGTCTCTTCGCGTTAGGCACATTCTGCAGCAGTTCTTCGCATAAACTTTTTTCCCGCCACATTGAAATGCTAAATTACTTTCAAAGACTAGCTTTCTTCGCTTCGCACGCCCGGATCCAAGTTACGACGATGCTCGGGCCTTCGGGCCTCGCGTTCACTATTAACAAGCTTGAGTCTATTCACAGCACAATTTACCAATTTACTATTATAAGAAAGCAGTTCAGTATGCACTTTATTGTATAAGAAAGCCTGAAGTATTTGACATGCGCAGTTGATAACGCGTTGTGTAGAAAGAAAACCACAAGCTTTGTTTAGAATCTAGTCCAACGAACAGTTCATAGTGAACGAGTGTCGTACCCTAAAATAAGAATTAGCCGTTTTATAATTTTTTTTTTAGAGTGACCACTTTTCTTGTGCACCGACAACACGGCATCAACGATATCCCTACCGGGAATACTACGGGCACCTGGCGTACCGGAGAATGCAGGGCCGCTGGCGGCCGCGGGGCCTGGGGAGGGGGCTGGACTGGCGGCGACGGCGTGTCGACGGACCCCGAGGCGGGGCCCAGCGTCGAGAGGTAGAGGCTGCGAAGGTCCTGCAGCGACGAGCGCGACGGCCTCGCCCCCGGCGACCACGTGCGGGTGCACGTGTCGCAGCCCTGCAAGCACCTCACCTGGTTAACGCCTCGAGACACACTAAGATTCATGGAACTAAGACCCCCATAAAATATTGGAAAATGAAGGCGAATTTGAACTTAAGATATGGAATTATTAAAATATTTTGAATACTAATTACAAAATTTTGTTTCAAAAAGAATTCATCTTATCTTTAATATGTTTAGCAACAGCTCATGATGCCAGATTTTAAAAGGCAAGTAGTTTTATGTTGGTTGATTTTTAAATAAGGTTTGGAAAATAGGTCTGTGTAGGGAAAATACCGGGCGGCAAGGGCAGCTACTGCAGGCCACATAACTGCAAGTTATGTTTATCCCCTTAATTCTTCAATGAGTTCATTTGCAGTTGGCTCACTTGTAAACTTCTTCGATCCTGACTTAAAATGCCATCGGCATGACGTTCATTTTCCCCCGACCTGTCAAACTGGTCCCTTGTTGGAGTTACTTCTCTGTACTAGGCCCTATCCCGTTTACGATAGTTCGCTCGTATCGGATGCCGACACTCACGGAAAGGTCCGTCACTCCAGACGCCTGCTGCACCAGCAGCGACACGCGGCGCGAGAGTTGCGGAGGTTGCGCCATGGACCAGTGGCGGCGGCGGCGACAGTTATTCGACGCGGCGGGCGACGCCGGCAGCTCGGGGTCCAGACACAGCAGGAGCCGGTCTTCGGCCGTCGGCGACACCTGCTTGGCCTGCGGAAAAACCCCTCACTCAACCACTGGCAAACTTGGCTGAAGTTTGTAAACCGAGGCGGTAGTCAAGGTTGCAAACGGACCAAGACTTTTGTGTTATCGGCCATGTGTCGTTCAATACTTTTCGTGATACCATATTCTTACAAGAAAATCTTAGATATAAGAAACGTCATTTCTTGGAATAAGAGAGTTTATCCGCCATATTTAGTTATAATGCATTTCTTTCGCTTACTCTTAATGGACGGTGGACTTTAATTATTGACTGACGTCGGCCTTAAGAGTGACTTCGTTCCTCAGGTTGTGTTAAGACGATATATTAACCGTTCAGTATTACGAAAACTTTTACTTGTCCAGCGCGAACATTCACTATACTCTTTGCAGTTTTTAATACGAATTTCAACTCATAAGTACTCTACAGTTATTACCTCAAATGTTTTGCCCTCTTTACTGACGCTTGTGCGTGTATCTTAAGAGGACCGTGAATTGCATATGAAGAACTACATAAATTAGTCTACATGCACCTTCTTGAGATGAGGTAAGATACGCCTATCGGTTTCCATCGCCCTTACACTTGTTGCCTTCACCACTAACGATGTAAGATGTGTGTCAACCTCTGCTCACGTGTTGACCCTGGCGATAGTGCGTCATTACACGTGTGGTCAATGAGAGACTCCCCCAAGACACGTAGATCTATACATTTTCAACTTCAAATTGGGACAATTACAAACTGGAACAAACAAAATTAAGTTGGGACAACACTTCTTATAATTGGGTATAAACACTTTCAAATTAAGACAAATCACTTCGAAATCGAGACTCAACTGGTTGAAACAGGAAAGTAAATAAAAATCAGATTACAAACTTTTTAATTCGAAAATGGATTAAACACAAAATTATTAACACATACTGTCATGACGTTTCAGTACCTTGCCTCAGGTATTAGCGAGCCCTCTCCAGTCTATTATATACTTCACAAATTTGTAGTTTGTTTCCCATAGTTCCAGTATTCTTTATGTCAATTATTATAACGGAAGTACCTTACCAATATACGGATAAATGTAGGATAGTTTTGTGAACATCAACAAATGAATCTAGCCGATTCCACTTTTCTCGTCTTGAAATTGTTACATCTCAAACCATTTGCGTTTAATCCCAATCTGATAGTGTTTATTCTCACTGTGTTAGTACCCAATTTGAAATTGTTTGGTCTCATTTTGAAGAAAAGATCTAGCTGGAAGGGGGTCTCTAGATGGCAGTTCAAAGGAGGAGCTACTCCTATTCAGTCAGTGTTCGCAGAAGCACTGTGAAATATGGACGATTAACACACAAGAGGATGAAGCTCTGAGTACCTTCTTAGTGCGATTTCGATCGTTGTCAATAGTTGTCAACTCAAAAATTTTAGATTCCAACTTCAACATGGAAGCAAATATTTCATTTGGTAATTACCTTCAACACAAAATGTGTTAGGAGGACGTTCCCCCCTCTACCTTGAGACACCGCCTCTGCCGCGTTCCCGGAACTGAACGCAAAGATAATAAAAAAAAAAAAGAACATCACCTTGAGCACGATCATCGCCGCGACGAAGATGCAGAGGATGTTGAGAAGCGTGAGGCAGACGCTGAGAGCGCCCTGCATGGCCAGGTCCGCGGCGACGGAGAGCACTTCGCGGTTGCCCAGGGTGGGGGCGGGGGGGAGGACGGGCGCCTCCATCAAGGTGGCTGTGCCGTTCATCGCGTCAACGGCGTCCGCAGCGGCCTCCGCCAGGGCAGTGGCGTCGCGCCGCGTCAGCAACGAGGCGCATGCCAAGCTCCACAGGAGGCCCTGCTCGCACAGAACGGGCCTGTGGTTGGATTCTGAAAAACTACTTGTTCGCTGCCAATTCATTCCTTTGTGGTGCGTACAGGCTGATAAACTGCCCAGTCTCAGTTTGTATTCGGTATATAGTACTTACTATACATATTTTAGACAATACATGACAATACATGAAGGGTAAATAGCAGGCTTTCTTCTTCCTGCTGAATACCTTTTGAGGTCAAGCGTAATTTTCACAGCTTGATTCACTTGATGTTAAATCACTTTTTCTATTTAATATTTTCCATTTAATTCTCTGTCCCCTAAATTTACTTAAATATCATAGGGGGAACTGTGCCCTTTACAATTTTTTGGTAGCCCTTTACCTTGTTTCGGTCTGAAATTTCTACTTTACTTTCTGTTCAAACGTCTGAGTAATAATAGAGAACTAACGCTTAAGCTGGCACCACCACATTTGCAGCTTAATCTTATGCCAATCCACCGTTAATTACGCATAAAAAAATTAAGAGCATTCAATTTCCTTTTGGCGTAATTAATTAGAAATTTAATCGATAGACATGGTGGCATATTTGTGTTTATGGTATAGATTATAGTAGTGCCACCTTAAAGAGGCCACAAACATTCATTTTCTTCAAGAAAGTTATTGAGCGGATCGCGTCACCCCTGTTCCTCACATGCCCCCCCTCCCCCCGGCTACTCACAGCGTTGATGGCCGGCGGAAGCAGCGCGGCCGAGATGGCCACGCCCACCAGCGACGCCGTGTAGCCGCCGAGCGTCGCGAGCGCCACGGCGGCGCCAGACAGCAGCGCCACGAGCGCGCCCACCCACACGGCGTGCAGCTCGCCGCGCGCGCGCATCTCCCGCGTGGGCCAGGAGGGCGGCGCGCCCCCGGCCACGCCGGCCGCCGCCAGCCCGAACAGGAAGCCCAGCAGCAGGCAGCCGGCCAGCCCCAGCACCTCCACGCGCACGCCGCGCCGCTGCAGCCGCCGCTCGCGGCCCAGCGTGCCCAAGGTGAACGCCATGATGGGGCCCTGCCGGCAGCGCCCCGGCCGCGGGTCGCATTAGGAAACGCTCTCTGTCGCTTACGTCAATCAATAGGGCATATACAGTCGACTCCGGTATAACTTCTGGGGACTAACACTTTTTTTCACTATATCAGATTATATCAAAATTAAATAGAATTTCTCCTTAATTGATTTTAGTAATGTAGAGATACAGCAAAATACATTAATAACACGACCTGAAAATTTTAATATTTTTATTTGTCCTTTAAAAATTAATTATTTTTAATTTTTGCTTCGTGATTTTTTATTAATAATTTATCTAGATCCTTCTGCAAATTCTGTGCTCTCTCCATACTTGACCCTGCATTCTTCTCTGTGTCAGTGTCGTAATGCACTCTTGACACTACATTGCCTCTTGCACTGTTGGTACACCTTCCCACTCTCTGAAGGCCCTTTTACTCGCCTAATAACATACGAGATGCGTTTGGTGGATGTCGCAAACAGCTAATGAAACTGATCGCTTTTCCGTGCGGCACGGCCCGGTATCGCCAGGCTGTGGCAGTCGCGCGCTTCCTGTCGCCTACGTACAACTTAACGCCCTCTCGCCCGCGTAATATCAAGTTGCACCAAGGTTGCAACCGAAGTAAGCAATCGCGCAGCGCAGCCGCCAGTTGCAGCCCACGCAGGACACTGACTTTATTTCCGCTGTGAAACAGAGGCATAAGGGCATCAGTAAGGTGACCATTCCGGGCCCGCTACCTTCAACTCGGGGAAACGTCTTTCGATTACGACCTTTGGCCGACGCTATATTTTTTCAAACCGCCTAGTGTTGGAATTTATAGCACTGACACCATGTACGAGTATTATTTGCGGAGAGGGAATTAGTTTTCAAGACATATTTCCTACTTCACGATAGCCGAGTTTCAGGTTCGCTTTAATCGAATATTCTTATGCTTATTTGTAATGTAAGTGAAACGGAACCAGTGACAAGTTCACTATATCCGAGTTCACTATACCAGAGTCTGTGGACTGAATCTTCGCCTGTCAATATCTTACGCACGTCCCAGAAAAGCCCCGGTCACCGCCAGCCCGAACAGGGGAACACCATGATGGGGCCCTGCCGCCATCGCCGGCATATTGTATTTTGTATACAAATCTGAAATTTCCTAAGAACTCTTAACCAGACCCTCCCTCGCAATTTGGTCATCCCTTAGACTGAACGTTTCAAAATGTTTACGGACATTACCACGCGATATATTCAATTTCATTGTCCACAAGGAAATGTAATGGGGAACTATAAATATTTCTTCAAAAGATGATTCTTCTTAGATGAAAATAACTGAAAACATACCATCAGTGGTGAGATCAGCATGCTCGCTACCAGAATCTCGGTGCTGTTTTCAACCAGTCCGAGAGCCGCCAGGAACCTACACCGATCAGAAACATCGGCAAAACATAAGTGAAAATATGACGGCTCCTGAATACACATTGCGACTTTCCATTATTTGCTCAAAGCATTACAATAATTATTATTTTCAATCACTTATCATAAATTATATGTACAGTTTATTTAATAGTATTTTAAAAGTGAACGAATACAGGCTAACGTCAACTTCGCTCACCCCGCTAACGTCAACTTCGCTCACCCCGCTAACGTCAACTTCGCCTCACCCCGCTAACGTCAACTTCGTCACCCCTAAACGTCAACTTCCTGGCTCACCCCCGCTACGTCAAAACTTCGCTACACCCCGCTAACGTCAACTTCCGCTCACCCCGCTAACTCAACTTCGCTCACCCCCGCTAAACTTCAACTTCGCTTCACCCCGCTAACGTCAACTTCGCTCACCCCCGCTAAGTCAAACTTCCTCCCCCGCTATACGTCAATCTCGCTCAACCCCGCTAACGTCACTTCGCTCACCCCCTAAACGTCAACTTCGCTCACCCCGCTACACTACAACTTCGCTCACCCGAGCTAATCGTCAACTTCCTACCCCGCTAACGATCAACTTCCGGCCACCCCGCTAACTGTCAACTCGCTCACCTCCGCTAACGTCAGACTTCGCTCACCCCGCTAAACGTCAACTGTCGCTTCACCCGCTAACTCAACTTCCGCTCACCCCGCTTAACGTCAACTTCTGCTCACCCCCTAAACTTCAACTTCGCTCACCCGCTAACTCAACTTCGCTTACACAGTAAATTTCGCATAATACTTTCGAATTATTAAAACCCGTTTATTATTAAGCACAGTTGCTTACTGCGAACAGTCCAACAGTAAGGAATACTCACCGCAATGAGCAACAAGGCAGACGAAATCCGAAGTTGTATGCGCGCTTCGGCTTCTGCACGGCCTGCACGGCGCGCGCCTAATGCCAGCCGCTCCCGCGCGCGGCCAACGAACTCTGTACAGCGCGGGCGAGTCATGGTGGCCGGAGACCCCGCCTCCGTCCTCCTTTCCGGCTGCCTGCCCAGCAAGCCTGCCCGCTCGCCACCGCGTCGCCCTCGCCCACGCTTCCGACGGGGTGGCACTTTAAGCGGGCGACACGAACGTGCCGTCCGCCGACCGGAGTCGCTGCGGGGCCGCGGGCAGCCGCGGCGCGCTCACCTGCGACTGCACGGCATCTGCCCTATGCGTCTGAATGGAGTTGGAGCCACGACGGTGCAAGCGGGAGCGGGCGAGCTGGGCTGGGGCGGTCCGGCGCGCTTCCCGGGCACCCGCAGCAGCTGGCCACCACGCTGGAGCGAAGCGTCGCCGCCGTGCAACCCCGCCCGCCGCCGCCAGCCGCCGCAGGAGGTTGTTGAGGCCGTCGCCGATGTCCGCTGAGAAGCGCGCCTAAGGACAGTGAGTTTCAGAGTACACTATTGCCGGTTCACTTCTAGAATGCGTTAAGTTATTTTTTAGAAAAAATAATTGAAAAAATGCCCATATGCTGCATATTAATATTGTATAAATAAATAATTAACAATTATAGATATTTCACAGGCAAAAGACGCTCAAATATATTATGAATAATTGCGAAAGAAATTAACAAAATATTAAAGAGGTACCATCCTGCTACAAGTGGTGACTTCAATGCTAGAGTCTGCGATGTGCCAGTTCTGGGTGTAATGGGAACTTAAACAAAATATTACCAGTTGTTTTCCTACTTAATGAACTTTAAATAATAACTGCTTTTCCAAAAAATAGATCATCAGTAACACATTTGCATACGGACTGTAAGAGAAAATTCTGCTACTTGACTACGTAATCGTCAATAAGAAACCGGCCAGTTCAATATCAGAGTACTACTTTTTCCTTTCTTGTTCCTTCTATACTTCCATTTCTCGCAAAATAAGTTTAAAAATCACTGTCCACAACCTCTTAATACCTATGCGGTCCCCTTTTTGGATCACAATTAATATTAATTAGTTTGGTACGATGAAGAGGACTTTTGAAAATTGTTTAAACTATTTGTTGTATCTTCGTATTCTATGACGTGCTGACTCAGTTTCTGTGAAACTTCTACAATTTTTCAGCTTCTTGGTCCACATCATTTGCACATTAATCGTCTTAAAAAATATCGCACATAGCTACGTGGCCGAACGAGTACTAGTAATCACTTTATTCAGTGTTGTTACACTACTCACCTGCAGTAGTGTGCCGTCTTCGGATCGGCTCCATATCGTGTCAGGAACTGCTACCAGCACCGTACGCGCCGCCTGCACAGTTTCAAGGGGAGTAGTGTAGCGTCATAGGCTTAAGCTTTCTGTGCTGAGAGAGCTGGCAAGGAGAAGTGTGTGGGTAACTAAATTAGTCACCCGAACAAAAGGTGCGATACAAAACCAATACTCTTCAAGAGGAAATAGCTGGGTCCAAAAAAAGGTGCCGTGCGCAAAATAAGCGGCAGTTAGACCTCGACTCAAGCGCGTGGCAGGGAGATGACGTACGAGGTCACGTGATCCTGCACTTTATAAGGCGGCGTCATGGAGCCTCGCGACGAGTAACAACTTTGGTTTCCTCGCAGCAATACTGCAAAAACTTAGTACGCCCAGGCTGGCGCGGAATGCTGCATGCACGAGGTAATGTTCGGATGTGTCCGGTCACGATCAGTGATTCTTTACCACTGCAGGGCAGATCGTGTATCTGCTGAGGCACCTCAGATGCTTAGTGCGAATCTGCCTAGTGGGCTAGTCGCGGGCGGAGCCACAAGGCGCGGATAAAGAGGGGAGGCCTAAGTTACATAGTTCCGACAAGCGCCCTAGAGTGAGGACTTGTACAATGTACTTGTAAATATTGTAATTACTGTGTAAATAAATTGTACATTGTCCACTCGTGTGTTTCCTTGTGGTATAAATCCTTACCCGTGCCGTCACAATAGCCTAGGGAGAGGAGGAGAGTCATATCCTACTATTTAGGGCATACAGTGGCTGATTCTGGTTATGACTTATAATTTTGCTTTTTCTGTCGCGTCAATTGGTATGGTCATTAGTTCCGTACGTCTAGGGCATGTTATATCTCGGAAGGTTACAGTATTCCTTCCAAACAGTAATGGGAGAGGAATATCTTGCTGCAATAAAGAATTTATTCTTTAAAAATTCGTGTTCCTACCTTGCTATAGTTTCATAAGTAACGTTCCTTCATTTGACAGGATATTGAAAAGCATCTCTTGCGTCTCTCCAAAACTCAGCAATAAAATCCAACGATTTTTCTTTTTGTCCGTTGAACATCAGGATATAATTCAAAACGTTCAAAGTCTCAAACCAAAGGTATAAATACCGAACTGCTAAAAAATAGCCTAGATGTGACCTACCCAATCACCGAAATAGTAAATTTCTCTCTAATGAGCGGACAATATCCCTTATCCTGGAAAATTGTGCTCGTGCATCCTACTTCCAAGACAATCAAAAACCCTATTGAGTACCGCCCAATTAGCATTCTTCGGACTATCCCTAAAGTACTCGAAAAAGTCGTTGCAAATTGAATAGTATCTTCGAAAAAAACCACTTTTAAACGATCAGTACTGAGGTTTCCGTTCCGTCAGGAATACAGGATTAACACTACTACACGTTATTGAAGACGCGAGAACAGCAATAGATTCACTGAAACGCCTGCGAATACTTTTACCAAGTAACACACGTGAGACTTATGAAATCGCTAATTATGTACATTTCGTCTATTGTGACTATTCTTACCAACGTGATATTCAAATTACAACGTTAACTTCAAGTAGCCTAGAATGCACGCGTACGGTTTATTTTTTATCTCAAAATACAACCATTTATCGGATTTTTTGTCAGAATTTGTATGCTTACACTAGACAATACGGTTAATCCACTTTTTATAAACTTTTAAACTATTCTCATGTAACACGCCTCATAATCATCTTCAACTCTCTGAAACTAAATCGAGCACGTGATTCAGCTCTGCTTTGTGTACCATGTCTCAACATGGCTTCGTTCAGTAGATCGTTCACCATTACAGTTATCAGAGCCTGGAATAAATTACAAGCGAGTGTAAAACATTCAGATACTTTCCATAAATTCAAAAATGAATTAACCGCCTAGGTAAGGAATAACGACTTCTACAATGGCGTTAACGTCTTCAATCTCCAGACTTTTCCCACTTCCAAGCGCCAGGTCACCGCCCTCAAACACACTGTACTTTCCTCATTATTTTCACAAATCTATCCCATACCTTATTGCTATCCTTAATTACCATTCCCTCTCACACTATGTAAGTCATTAACATTTTTCTGAAAATCTAAATGAAATTGTTTAATAAAATATACAAAAATTATTAGCGACGTTCCAGATAAATATACTTTTATCTCTATTACAATACATTGGCATAAACAAAATTTATTTTAAGATCCTAGCTTAATTTATATTGTTCATTAATACTGTCAATGTTGTGTTTTAAATTACTGTTGTTAACAGCTTATAAGTGTACTGTGCTTCTTTACGGTTAAAAATATTTTATATTTATGTAAAGTGCTAATGTAAATCAAACTTAGCTTTCTGTAACGTTCCTTGAATAATTTTACTTTTTCATCTAATACTTCCTCCTTTTCTTCGCTTCTCTTCTCTCTCCCACACAAATTTTCCCATTTTTACTTTATGACCCGTTTCCCTGAACGTCTATTATCTTATCCTTCACTAAACTTCCTTTTAACTACTATGTTCAACATTCTATTCTATTAATATTCAGCCCTAAGCAGTCATCCTGATTGAGGTTTTCTGAGTTTAGGTGGTCCCTAGTTTTGTACATCCAGAGACGTTAATGTACAGCTTGTTATCTCCTCTTACATTGTCACTACTCTATATATGTAAATTCAGTGGTTAGGCGAAGAGCAGGCACTATGGCCTGAGCCATAAAGGCATTCTTGACTCATGGTTAGAAAAGAGACAAATGAAACACCTACAAGAAACTTGCACATGTGAGATGTCCGTCATCCCTTGCTTTCGGGGATGAAATCAATTGAAGGACCGTAGAGTGCACCGCTTCTTGGTCGGCCAAATTTAAATAGAGAGCATTTGAAATTACGCAAGCTTCATAAAAAGATTCCGCCAAAAGGAAATAACGGAAGCTCAATCTCGTGTCCATACTATCACACCGCGAGAGTTCTAAACCGATCTTTATATTCATCAATTCTGGAACTTCACTTCCCGCACCAGCCTTATTTTTATTTAACATCAAACACGCTTAAAAACTGTGTGTGACGTGCTCTGGAAAGAAGTGTCGTCTTCGCACGTTTTCTGAAATTCTGAGATAGCTACCCTAACTCGTGTACTAGTTGAATTATGACTACAGATGAATTGAGCATTTTGGGCAAGAATTGATTACAAAAATTCACTCTCAAGTGTAATGAAAACTATTTGGAAAGGCAAATCAGCTACAGAGATTTGGTATTATCCCTCTTAGTTCCCTTCATGAAAGAATCGTGAAGGACTTCCTTCTGTGACTTTTACAAATTAGAAGTTGGTGAACACCAATCATTTTATACGTAAGCACAAAACTGAATGACAATTCTTCACAACATTGGTGCCCGTGGAAATCTGTGAGTTCATCCGCAATTTTACAATTAATGGACAGCTTCAAAGCACAATTAGTAACCAAATATCTCAATCCAGGATATTCGAAAATTGTCTTTAACAAGGCGCAGATTTGACTGCAACCTGTTTCCTTAACCTTCAATGTAACGCCTTATCGGAAACATTTTGTGAAAACTACCTTGAACATAAACTTTTCTGTATATAAGCTATCTTAAACGAGATCTAAAAGCCTTTGATTCTAACTGAAAATGCAATTTAAATAATTGTTTCCTTAAAGGTAACTTAGGAATTTCAGAAAGCCCACTTTTCCTTATTCTGCGCAACTGAAGCTGGATTACATTTTATTAGACATTTAACAGAACTGCTCTCATCGAATCGTCGTTTTCAATGCCGATTTCCTCTGCGAAAAGAAAAGTGAATGAAGGTTCTTACACTTAGCCTTATCTTTCCAAACTCCATCCAATCACTAAAAACTAACGCTTTCAAATATTATTCGACAACTACCTTAGGCGCTTCGTGATATCGGCTGAAGATATTTTACCAAAAACTTCGAAGAGGCCCAGACGTTAAACGGTTTCGTCTCTCATACTCTCGTAACTCCAAAACTGTGCTTTCGAATATAACTCTTTAAAAATATTTTCTCATTGGCCATCATGATGGCTTTCCTAGGCAGTTTACTTTATTTTACTGTCGTTATAATTAATTAAAATACTCTGAAAATTTTTACAAAAATATTCTTCTAGAACTGATTATTAATATTTAAACATCAATATTTAAACACATTTAATAGGATTTTTTAAACCTCTTTGCATTTATTTTCTGATTAATTGTACGAAACGAGTTCTGGGGATAAAGAACATTTGCCTAATATTAAACAAAACCTTGTTTTTGAAGGCCTAAATGGAAACAATCTTGATATAAATTACGTTGCAATTTATCACAAAGTGTGCTAATTTGGGCAATTGTATTCATGTTTAAAAAACGTCTAGCCAGTAGAATTTGTAATTCCCTGTTTTTTATTCTTTAAATTTATTGCAAGGCTAGCTTGAATTCCCGGAGATGAAAAAATCAGCTTTTATTCCAGAAATCTGTAGACGATACCAATACCAAACAGCTTGGAATAGACAGCATGGATTAAGTATGATTAATTTGTCAAAATTACTACACAGAATGATTTGTAATTAAAACTTGGTTAAATCGGAATTAGCTGAACTACTACTTCCAATTACGACGATTAGTAGAACTGTCTCCCACTCCGCTACCTAGAAAGATCTTTGCGACTAAAACAAAGCTACAAAAGCGGGCACTGACTCGAATAAATTTGGAAAAAACAAGCATGACGATTGCTATTAGATAACCAAAATATGACACTCTTCGCCTACTGTAAAGGAAAGTCATTTAAATGGAAAGACTTTCGAAAGTAAGAGATTCCAAATCATTTCTGTGGTAACCCTGGATCAAAGCTTTCCAACTGTTCTTTATAACAAATACCCGTAAATTACAATTTCAGAAAACTTTCATTAGTAGTAAGAAATTCAATTAGTGCTGAAGTGTTTTTGACAGAACATTACACAAACTCAATTATTGTGATATTTAATTACTTAAATACTTACTGCTAGAAAAAAAGAAAAACAAAATTTTACAAAATGATGTGCATCAATTTTGGCCATGAAAAATATGTTTGACTCGTTTCGTGCCTTAGGTGAACTCTTTCTTGAAAAGATACAAGCCCTGTTGACATAGGCGTGCGACATTGCAAACAGACCAGTTACCTAATTTAAGTAATTAATGACGATATTAAGTATAGAAATGGAATTAACGCAAATTTTATATATTTCTACGCACATAATGTACGCTTATAAAAACTTGCATTGAACAAAACAAAAATAATTATCCAATTAATCATGCAATTGTTAATGTAAATCAAACCTCGAAGGAATAGTTTTGGTTCATAGTGTCTTGGGTAGTTTTCCACCTTATGTGAAATTAGGTTTTCAACACACAGCTTTAATCATCCCCTTGTTAAATCAAGGTTTCTTGTTACATTCAAATTTACTTTACAACCCAACAGATCAAGATAATTGAATATTTTATTTCAGAAACCTGTCAAACGCCGAAATCTAAAAAACGAATTAGCGGCGGATTATTGTTCCAAAAGGACAGACCTCGTTTAGTCTATGTTTATACGAAACATTCATATATCAACTGCTTTAATAAAAAAACATTTTGAAATAAGATATTTTGAGACTTTGTTTTATCGAAGTAAGGAATTTGGCGTTTGACGGGTTTCTAAAATAAATGATTCATGATCTTCACCCACTGCACCAGGAGCCCCTGGCGCCGGAACGCCGTTCCGGAATTCCATTTTTGGAGAATTAAAAATTTTAGTTTTATACACAATATCTGGTTCAACTTCGAGTACGACTTATAATGCAATAAAAAAAAGGTCCATATACTGGATAAAGAGTAAATGAACTCTTGGCCACGCATTTAAATACCAATATGCCTACTTAGCCGTCTTTAGTATGCATTAATATGTGCATACTAATAAATCAATATACCGCCAGAGCACAAAAAGGTGTAACACGTAAAAAATATATTTTCAGTAGGTGAAATCTTTATAAAATAGTATATTTTTACTAGCAAACATTTTATGAAGATCATAAAACACGTGAGTATACGTCATTGACCAAACTGCTAAATATAGAATAAAACCGTTCTTATACAAAATATTTAAAATGTGACTTTTCTCGTGCACCGACGATATCGTGTCCGAACATGGACGTCCTCAAAATGTCGATCTTCCCACCTTTTCCAACGGGCCGCCATCCGCAGGCACCAGGACGCGCAACTCTGCGCCCGCCATATTTTCAGCAACGCCCGCTCCAGCTCCTACTCCTGTTCCGTCTGCCCGGCCAGCCGCCCTGCTAGCCACGCTAGTACTGCGAGACTAGACCTCAGACATGGCCACCGGCTCCGATGGCAGCGCTAACGACAAACAGGAAAACCAAAATGCGGCCCGGCGCGAAATATGATTTTACTATATATATATATATATATATATATAGTCGGTTTTACGCAATGTCATTGCGCAAAGTTAAGTCAAAGCACTTTCTGCTGGAGACGGGAATTTACTGCGTCTTGATCGCGCGTTTTCTTCAAAGAGCAAATAGTGTGCATCCCTCAAAACAATGAGCGTGCACATCCAGCCCTGTGTAGTTTTTTGAGCACCAGATGTATGTTTGAGTGTATGTTCAAGTCTTGTGGAAAGTTGTGTCCAGTCTTTACTACAATACAAATTCAAGAAAGGAGTGTAACCTTGTGGGTTATTGAAGACTGTTGGAGACTGTGGTTATGTTTTTCGAAGAAAAACACCGGCTTTGATGGCTCAGGCACGGCCTCCTCAACCAGTAGTAGAGAAGGTTGTTGCTCAATTACTGCTACTGCAGTGACTCGGACCGGGAGGACCTGGGGTTCGAGTCGGCAGGACTTTAAACACTTGCTAGATAGTTAGGTCGCATTCAGCCCTATTCAGCAGTCAGCTGCTCTGATCGGTAGTTTTCCTGGGTTTCTTGGATCTTCACCAGGCGAATATCGGAGCAGTACCTTAATGAATGAGAAGGACCGCGCACAATCTTTCCTTTCCTTTTTTGGCCAATCCTCACCCCTTCCTTTTACACTCTTTCACTTACATGTACTACACTACCACACATGTCGGGAGGCCGGTGAGGAGTGTTGAGCTTGTCCTGGTTGGAGAGGTGCTCCGCTGGTGGGGCATACCTGCTATAGAGAAAAACATGCAAGCTGACGTGTAGGTCGGCACCGGATCTCACCATCCAGCCATAGATAACAGCCACCTCCCACAAAAAGAACGCACTACACTTACGGGACTACTGGCATTAGCAGTTCTCAATCCCAGAAACTTCAATCAATTGAAAAGAATTGTATTGAATTATGTTTCTTCTTTAGCACAAAATATAATCAAGTTATTGCAATTCAAAGAAAAATGTTCTTTCTTCATAACAAGATTCCTAAACATGTTCCCTTACAATGCTTTTTTTCTACGTCTGATTCTTTTGATGGCGATTATAGGCAGTACAAATCCTAATCATATCGTCTGCTCAATCTAACGACAGGGAGGAATGGTATAAACAGTGTAATGCTCGTGCGCCAAGTTGCAGTGCGTGTTTCAAATTCACGCAAGCACTTTTATGACAAAAAGACGCACCGAGTGGCCGCATCTAAAGAGAATATCGGTCAAATTCACCAACCTTGGTCAAATTAGTCCTGGCGATCGTTAACTTTGACTATTCGTCAAGGAACATGCGTAGATTTTATCATACAGAGGTTGGTAACTTGTTCAGGTTACAAGACGATTCCACATTGACTGTCGAATATTGATGATGTAAAATATCCGAACACTCAGGAAGTACACGAGAGAGCGTATTGGTGGTCGGTGGACACGTCACGTGCTCCCTGTATATTCTGATTTCTACGAATGGTACTTGAAGGTCACAACTGAACGGAGAGGGGGACTCTGTCATCCAATCTGAAGTTTCATTACGACATCAATGTTTGCTATTGAGCTCCCGATTGGATGACGTCTCCCCTCTCCTTCCAGTTCGTGACCTTGAAGTGTCACTATGCAAAAATCGGGGTATACGTCCATCGTTTGATGTGAATAGTTATTTGCGTGGTGTATGACTGTTTGGTTATTCTACTTGGTAATTATGGAGCAGGGGGCAAGAAAAGGTTCAATTTTAACCAAGAAGAAAAAGCTCTTCTGCTAAGGTTGCTATCTGAAAAGAAATCCTTTTAGATAAGTCAACTAATGGGAAAACATTACTTGAAAAAACGAGGTGCGGATGGATATATGCAAGAAATTTAACAGCCACCCAAATGTGAGAAAGAGATCTCTCACCCAAGTGAAAACTTTTTCAACTTTCAAAGAAGAACCAATCAAGGCTAGTACTGTAGTATTCAAGAAAATTAACAGAACATGTTAAACTTTCTAGCCTGTTATATTGTTGACTATTCAATATCGTTGATTTACTGATACTAGTTAATATTAATTTAATGGCATATTTCATCAATCTGTTTTAAGATGCAGCTCGACAAAAAATGGGTGGTACAAATGGATAGTGAATCTCCAAGTAAATCTTTGCTGGATGAAACTCAGCAAAAGCTTTCACCTTTAATAAGAAAAAGTGACCAACCCGTGAGATTCAGATTCAGGTTACTAATGGAATTTTTATTTTAAAATCAACATGTGCAGTAAGATATAAGACAATACAAAAATGAAATATCAGTTGCAGGGAAGTAGGTAATGCCTCCAGAGAAAAGTTATTGCGCGTTATCCAGATTAGGAGTTTTGAATTACTGTTTTGCTAGTTACGTTGCAAAGAGTGGTCATAGAGTAAATTAATTGAAATTACTTTGGATAAGAACGTATTTTCGCTATTCAAAAAAATCTATAACTAAAATGTATTACTGTGATAAACCAATCCACAATCTATTATACTGTACAACTGTTTACAAAATTATGCTACATATTTCTTGATGTCATCATTTCTTTGAACAATGCTATTTTATAGTAAATAAACTATACGAAAGAGCAGCAATTCATTTGTGTGAAAAATACTGCATAGTGAGAAGTCTGGTGTTTGCACTTTCATAAAATTGAACATCTTTTCGTTTTAAAATTGCTATATAGTTATTCCAGGTTTGAAATTGATCATTTGTGGGTTATCGATTAATGCTGTTGCCAAGAAAAAAATTACCCCAATATGCCTAAAATTATACATTTTTAGTTACATTATATTTTGAATTTAACTACTGTATTTTATTTCAATAATTAATATTATATTGATGTCCAGTATTTACGTACTTTGTTAGTATAATTATGTCATATTATGCGAGAATTCATGATACAAAATGTCTATACTATATTACTGCTCAGTAAGCAAGAACTCCATGGGAATGTTTGATAATTTAGAGATACAGATTTTTGCTTTTTCAGATTGTGTTATTTCTGTCATTGAGGATCCGTAAGAGAAATAATTACATAAATTAATTATTATGAAACAATCGATGAGGATGACGCAGTAGCATCCACCTTGAAGGAGGATATGGCAAGCCTTATGTTTTCCATAAATGCAGTAGTCCAACGACACATTGGTCTGCAAGAAACAAACCCTGGATAATTAGAAAGCAGTCACGGGCGGCTAAGGCTAGGAAGAAGCTGGCATAACTTTCAGACGAACCGAAGACCTTGTGTGAGATGAAACTCGACATTTTGAAACAAAAGTAAAAGACAAACCTTGAATTAGTGGCCATGAAGAAAGAAACCAAAACTTAACACAAGACACATTAAAAGTGCAACATTTTTTACAACGCTAAATTGAAAAAATTGTAATAAGGTCATTAAATTATTTGTGTTGCCTAAAATATTTCTTTCAAACCTGTATACTTTTTCAGTAGACAATATTTTCATATTCATTAATTGTTTGGTAACATTTATGAATTTTTTTTACAAATATTTGCCATTATGTAAGTCAAATACGTGCTTAGTTAATTTTCACAATTTACAGAAATGTGGCACGATTGGCGTGTGAGGTCGTAAATTGGTTGACTAAATATCATATACTACTCAAAATTAAATAATTAACTTACCACATAAAACAGTCTTCTACGACCCTATTTCGTACAACAGCAGGTACACCATTCGACAACATGGAACATCAAATACAAAATAATTCCTGTTTCATAGTCGCAGAAGCAGTGGCGTTTCATTGGCTGTGCAAGTCGTGTGTCAACGCCCAAGGAAATAAAAAAATCCTCTGAATTTACTTACATTTTTCATTTATCCGGTAGTCCATGCAATCGGCATCGTAGATTGGCAACAGCGCGTCCGTGCATTGCCGGCAGTGTGCGAGCGCAGCTCAGACCGTTGGCGAATGCGTCCTACGTCTTCAGGGCGATGGTGGCAGCGCATGCGCGCGACGTCCCCCACTCAAGGACAAAGCATGCCAAGGCGTTGGATCTCGATTCAACGGCCTACCGAAGAACGAGCGTCTGTGATTGTGATATTCTCCGTTGCGCGTTGCAGCCTTTAGCGATACTCATGAAATTAGTGTTAATTTTGATAAGGATAATGTTTTTTTTTTTTTTTTTTTTTTTTTTTTTTTTTTTTATTTTCCCTATTCCAGTTATCCTGGAGAGGCGGGAATATATTCACGTTTGGGATACATATTTCCCATTTACTTGGCTGTCCGGGTGACGCCGCGTCCATGGCGAAGGTAATGCATTACGCCCTGAGAAAGGTCGCAGAATGGCGACCGAAACGTCGGCACCTTCGCCATGGACGCGGCGTCACTCGGACAGCCAAGTAAATACTGACTCCGACCGCGGAAGCCTACGCTCTTACATATTTCCTGCAGTCGGTGAGGCTTTTGCAGGTTGCAAGGGCGGTATCTTAAATAAACTAATTTATACTAACTTAAAACTAATTACATTTCCTCTTTGGGATTTTTTTCACTATCCTAACAAACAAAGGATAGTGAAAAAAAGGAACAATAGTTTTAAATAATCGCTATCCTTCTGACTCGCACGAAGAAAAGGAACAAGTAATTGATAATGGGAGACCGTGTCATAATCTGATAATATTTCAGAATTTAATTTTTAAAACGATAACCTAAGAATGGAAAAGCGTCAAGTATGTCATTATTAATAATTTAAAATGCATTGTTCCAATCTTTGCAATAGAACATACATCCTCATCGTTGTTAAGTTTGCGACCATTTTTCCCTCACTCTTCCAATATTATAATTTAAAACAAATCAGGATGTTGTTTATATAATTCATTTTCACTCTCAACATATAAGCGAAAATGTAGTATGGGGCTTAACACTTTCTTTCACAGCCAACGTCCTAGGTCCAGAGTGAGGAGACGCCACTGCTCAGGAGTTGTAAACATCTGTTGTAAATTGAAAAACTGCTGCT